TGCAGGGCTTTGCTAATGCAATCTGACCTGCTCTCTTACCACCAGACATTTATGACTGTCTTTTTTCTATTTTTAATTTCAGATATTTAGCTCACAGCAAGTTCCGTGAGGCTTCTGTGGCCTGTAGTGCACAGGAAGATGTAGAAGAGGATCTGCAGGTCCTCCTGGACTCAGCACTTACTGGGTGAGCTGAGTCCCTTCCCAATCGTGTTCCCATATTCCTTTCAGTGAATTTTGGTATGTGCAGCTGCCAGAGCTGCCACAGGAGCTCTCTGCTGCTGCAAGCAGCAATAGACGCACTCTGACCCAGGGATGAGTAAAGGAAGCACTTGCTCTTAAGTACTACCTTAGATACCAACACAAGAGAGGGAACTGCTGATCCAAGGTAGGACAGGTCTAAGATACATGTGGATTTGCATATCTTGATCTCAGATCAAGAAATATTGATGTGCATACATAAAAATATCCCATTAGAGACAAGACTGAAACAAAGTTTTAGCCCTAGAAAGCTGAAAAGGTTGAGGACCTGAGAATTCAACTCTGGTCCAGATTTCAAGACATGTTATTTTGATCAAAGTCCATTTCAGTTTCTGATCTAAAATGTGCAGTTTGGTTTTTTGGGTTTTATGGGTTTGGGTTTTTTTTGGTTGGTTGATTTTTTTACCTTGGACTTCCTCTGAAGCAGCATAAGGTAAATTCAAGGATCCATCTCACATGAACATGGTGTCCACAGAGGGAGTATCAGTAGAAATATTTACTTGTGTTTACTCTGACCAAAATAATTTTCTGTATCAAGCCTCTTAAATCTTTTCAGTTCTCAGAGTCCCAGTGCCTGCAGGACTGCTGATGGCCACAAACTGTGGAAGGGTAGCAGACACGGTTTGTCCCTGCACCAAGGTTTTCCCTGCTCCCATCACCCCTGACCTCCCTCCATGAATCCAGTATGCAGTTAGGCTTCTACTTGCCTCCCAGAGCTGTTTCTTTCTTATTCAGAGAGGAACTCAACAGCCCTTGACATAACAAATACAGTTTTAGTCTGTTTTTCCAAGCTGGGCATAGCATCAATTGCTAAGGAAAGTGATTTAAACTACATTTGTATTTTCAAAAGGTAAAGGTTCTGAATAAGGGGTGGCAGTATTCTGGCTAATTTAACTTATTTCTTAATGTTCAGAGTCCTTTACTAGTAGCACTACCTCACAGTCTCCTTCAAAGCATGAGTGTCTGTTATTCCCATTTTCAGCAGAGGAAACAGATGCAAAGACCTGCTCAAATGCAGGCAGCAATTGCAATCTGGATTAGAGTGAAAATGTCCCTGAAAGCTAGTTCCAGTCTCCAGGGAGACATCAGTGGGCAGGGAAAGCTGGGAAACTCAAAGGGATGTAGCGTGGGATTGAAAATAAGAGGCATGTAAGATTTTTAATGCCTAAGGTGATCTGGCCAAGCAAGAAACAAGGCTCAGCAGTTCGTGTCAGCACAGGGGAGGGTGGAAACGTGGGGAGCTCGTTCCTTAGCTCAGTGGAGGACGAAAGCAGTGTGCTGGCAGGCTGTGCAAGAAATGCATTGTGAACTGGCTCTTGCAGCTGTGAGCAAGACAATAAGGATGGTAAAGCACCGTCTAAGTCCCCACATCCAGCTTTGCACAAAGAGGGAGCTAAACTCATCCCCCTGGAATCCCTTGGCTCACGGTTTGAATTTAGCTCTTTGTCTTTGAATGACTCCAGGCACAAAGGGAACATAGGTTGTCACAGTCAGAGAGCCAAATTCACCTTTTCCCTGCTCTCTTTCAGCCCCTGAGCGACACAGTACTTCCATCAGGGTCTCTGGTCATAATTTGCAGGGCATTCTCAAGAAAGATCCGGTTTTCTTTTACCGTCTGAGGAATTACATTTGTTTCCTCCCTTTGTTTTTTCCTATGCCATTCCCTCTCCTCTAGGCTCTGCATGGCCCACTGAACCTCACCTAGCTTCTTGCCAGCGTATAAACATGCTTTTCAATGAATATGCATCTTCTCACACACCAAAGATAGGATATTCTTCACTTAGTCTCAGGGTTGTGTATGAGGGTCACACAAGACTTTATTCTTCCAGCTAGTAGACTTCAAGACTGGCATTTCAATGAGTAGGAAGAAGACCTATAGCTTGTCATAGAGCTCTCTTACCTGTCCATGAACCAGCTTGTCTTCTCTTGCTATATTAATCAATTTGGTCTCTTGGCAAACCAACAAGATTGCTTTCACATGAATCTACAATAACTATTCACTGAACAAGCACTATCTATCAGATTATACAGGCTTAATAGAGTGCTTCTCTTTAGTTTAGCATAACTAAACATCTTTGCCTGTGAAGTATTTGTTCCCAGCCACTGAAAAGTCTTCATTGGCTGTGTCATGAACTTGCCATTTAATAATACTGCTTGTAGTAGTTCCCATCTCTTGAGCTATGAGAGCATCCCCCACAGCTTGCTGAAAATACTTCTGCTGTGTGGGACATTATAATCAATTCAGGTAGTCTTGCTCATTGATTATCACAGACTTCAGCTGGCCATCTTCTTCCACTTCTTTTTGCTCCTGCCCATTCTCAATGATTTTCTGGGTGGTGATCATCTTGCCGTTGATCACTTCAGTGGTGGTCAACACTGTTCTGACATGATATGGCCCAGCTGTGTTGCCAGCAAAGAAGGTGAACTGCTCACTGGGACAGAATGAATTCCATGGCATAAATGACTCCCTGAAGGTGGAAAATAGGCTGGAGCTTCCTCCTCTTCCACTTGGCCAGTTTTCATCATTGATTCTCCTGTTCCAGGAATCATATGCAAATGGATCCACCCTTCCAAAGACCTGTTCTTGATTGTGGAATACATGACAGGAATCAAAGAAGCCATTATAACCCATTGCATCTCTTTCTCTGTGAACGCTGCTCTCCTGAACAGACCCGTCGTACAGTGACTGCTTCTGAGGGTCAGACAAAACATTGTATGCTTCAACAATTTCCTTTGAATTTCTTCTCAGCTTCCTTCTTGTTGCTGGGATTCTTATCAGGATGCCATTTTTGTGCAATTTTGTGGTAGGATTTGTTAATATCATTCTGTGAGGCATTTTTTTTCAATCTAAGGACCTTGTAATATTCCATCTCAAAGGAAGGGTGGGGCTGTTTGGAAGATGCCTGGTTATGTCTCTTCCACCAAGGATGTAAAGCCCAGGGCTGACCAGCACACAGAGACTCCTCAACACCTAATGCTGTTGAGCTCCTCGGTGGTGGTTAGATGCTCAGTTCACCACATGAGCTGCTCTGTCCTTTGCATTGTAAGGCCATTGACTGCTGCTTGAAGATATACATTATTTCAAGCCTATTGCTCACAAGTCATGAGATTGTGACCTCAGAGGGGGCTTAGCTAATCATGTCTCAGCTGTCCTCATCACATCCTAGGGCAGTGTCAGTTGCCACTGGTCTTATGTCTTTAAACATAGATCATGTATGTGATGTAGTTGCTGGATGTAACTGTGATGACGCAGCTGTGACACATGACTAACACAGAATCGTATAATAGTGTGCTTGGAAGTGACCTTTTACAGGTCATCAAATCTATCCCCCTGTCATGGAGTTCCACAGTTTTATCACCATCATGACTTTGTCAGATTGCTCTCTGCCTGTACCTGCCCAAAGGTGGGATTCTCAAATACGCAGTGCGGTTTCATGTGCAATCCAGGGAAGTGTGGTGTAGTCAGGTTTTATTATCCCATGGGTCCTATTACCCTATAGTAGCAGCTATAGGGAAGCTGCAGTTTGGCTACCCACAGTTTGGGAAGAGTGTTGATAAATCAGAGAAGGACCAGGGAAAAAGCCATAAAATGTGACTGAGGGATTGGAAAATATGCTCTGAAGTGAGATACTCAGGGAATGAGGAAGTTCAATGCCAACTACATCATAGTCTGTAAGAACCTGCACGGGAACAGAAATTCAGTGCCACAGGGACCTTCAGGCTGCCAAACACAGCCGTTGGAAGGTGTCATTAGCCAAATTTAAACTCAAAATACATTGCACATCCTTCATTATGAAGATTATGAATTGTTTGAACTTCCTCATGTGGCCATTTTTAAACCCAGAGTGGGCCCTTTTCCTAAAATCATTATTAGACAGCCATCGTGATTTTTTCTGAATTTATAGCCAAACTTAACACTTCCAGAAGAGCTTAGACTTCATGTTGGTGGCAAATTAAATTCCCACAGTTAACCACCTTAATCTCTTTTCTACATGCCTAATTTGATACCTGCCCCAAGGTGTGTATGCCTGTACAACAGGGATGCCTCATGAACTCGACACAGGCAAGTTCACCCCGAGGAGCTGAACTTTGATGATCAAGTCTGGGGTTATCTTGCATCTGTTGGATTTGCCATTCCTGTGGGAAATACAATATCCTTGTGGGAAATCACTGCATGAAGAAAGTCTCCAAGGAAGTGCCAGTAATGAGAAGTCATCTGTCTGTAACGCAGTGCCGTAAACACCTACTAATAGAAGCATGTGTTGCAGATCACTGCCCTCTTTTCCATTATCCCACACTTTGGGAAGAAGTCAAGAGCTGGCCAGACCAAAGCGCATATGCTCATCTTATGAGTTGGCTGCTGTCCTAACATACATCATATGTGTGAGGCCATGAAGACAAGGGGCAGCCATGTCAGCCTGGAGAAACGAGTGTGGCAGTGGAAGAAAGGTGATTGAGCTGATGTGTTGGGGAAGGTCTTTATATTGCTGGTGTTCTTACTGGTCAGTGATGGGTCAGTAGCATGGAGATACTTGTCACATTCAGGCAGTAAAAGTTGCCGTAGGGTAGGGCAGTGCAGGTCTACAGGCTGGAGCTGAAGGAAGAGCAATGCAGCAAAGGAGCTCCTGGTCCCATGGGCTCACCTCATTGGGGAGATCTTAGCTTTTGCCTTCTTTAAGTCTTCTTAATTACAGGGTGGATGTGCCACATTAATTATTTTTCTGCTGGGTGTTGTTTGTTCTGTACCAATGGCAAATAATCTGGGCCCAACAGCAAGTTCCTGCTACCCATTTGAACTCAGAGAACTCTTCGCACTCCTGAAGCATCCCAAAGTGGTCTTCTCTACTGAGGAGAGAGCTAAGGTTTGCTCACATTTGTAGTGTTGTACTTGAAATCTTCACCAAATGGACTCATTTATTTGAGCTAGTGGTTTTTATTGGATTGTCCATGGGACTTGTGGGTGATTTAAGCTTACCACCCACAAGTTCCCAAAAGGTGCCAACAGCTTCTAGCCACTGCCATCGTGGTCCATTTGCAGATGCTTAGCAGAAATTTCAAGAGGAATTGCCATTCCTACTCTTTACTCAGAAGGGAAAAGGGGACACCAGAAAAGTCTGTTGGAGAGGGTCCCAGTCCAGTTATCTACTGCAGGGAACAGAGCTGTGCATGGAAGGAAGGAGGTAACTCTGGCTTGTGCTGTGTCTTTGTAAAGCAGCTCCTCCCCTACTTGCTTTTGATGATGAGAGCCCATCTCAGACTGGCTGGCGCACTGGATTATCTGTCTTGAATTTAGTGCATCCTACCCATCTGAAAAGTGGGGAGTGTTTTTCTCCTGTCATCCCCAAATGGACGACTCTCACTGCCTGTCTGTCTGCTGCCTGCAGCAGGCACCAGAGATTAATAATCATTCAAGATGGGCCACTGCTGTGAGCCAAAAGGGTTTGCAAGGGAAAAAGAAAGGGTTGAGGACAGGCAGGGAGAAAGGGAAATGAGACATGCACACATTGAGTAACTAGACCCAAACTAGCCTGGCAGCCCCATCCCTAGAAACCAAGGCTTTGAAATGAGAAATGTTTTTCGTATCTTAAATCTCAAGTACAAACAATAAAAACCAGCCCAGACTGTGTTCTTTGAAGAGAAAGTACGAGTGACCTGAACAGTGGTTATCAGCAGCGTCATTAAGATAAACCCTTAACATGATTTAAAGCATCCGAAACTGAAGGCAGCACTTTCAGATACTAACAAAATGGTCTGACATTGGGGATGAAAATCAATAGTAATCTGATGTCACTAAAAATACTCAAAAGTGTCCCATGGCTGATGGAGGTGAGATTAGTGTAAATATTTGTATTCTAATCAGTGGCACGCGAGGGCTGGAGGCGGCCTTTCTGTCTATTTAATTAATGGAGTGGCTTTTTAAAAGGATCCTAATCATATGTGATTGTATCTGCTTATCAACATTTTTGCTAATTAGATGATATGGAGGCAGTCACTCTGCTAATTCCCTCATCCAAACAGCATATCCTGCACAGATAAAGTACAGTCTCTTTTTAATAAGAAACAATCATGAGACAGACTAACCTTAATGGTGCTTATTATCCGAGGATCTTTGGGATTTTCTCTTCTACCCACCCCCTCCTTCCTTTTCCTTCATTTGCTGCTTCAGTATGCCAGATGGATGTGGATGCAGCAGTCCCTATCCCTCCCTGGTCCCCTACTCCAGGCACCACCATGTCCAGCCTGTTCTTCCATCCCAACCAGGCATTGGATCTACAAGGGTAGGGATTGTCAGCCAGGTCAGGATGGGAAACAAAACACAAGGCACCAAGCAGCAAAATATCTCAAGCTTTTGGTCATCCAGACCACAAGTGACCCCAAGTATGCAGCCCCAATCCTGGACCCCCAATGAGCACCCCAACGAGCCCTGGTGCAGAAAGGATTAAGTGCCTCCGAGCTGTGAAAATATTTTTCTATTATTATTTTTATCAGATTAGATAATAGAAAAAAATTCTTCATGGAAAGGGCTATCAAGCATTGGAACAGGTTGCCCAGGGTACTGGTTGAGCAACCATCCCTCAAGGTATTTGAAATCCAAGTAGATGTGGCACTGAGGGACATGGGCTAGTGGCAGACTTGGCAGCACTGGGTTAACAGTTGGACTCAATGATCTGAAAGGTCTTTTCCAACCTAAATAATTATTACTGTTGTTGTTGCTGTTACTGTTATGTATTCATCTGTTTTAAAAGGGTCTGAGGGCAAAGGAGGTCTACATGAGTGGTTTCTCACCAGTCCCATTGATACTGTGATGAGGTCAGGGTCCTTTTATCTAAACCAACATAAGTCAGAGACATTTGGTCCAAGTCCTTGAACTATCCAAACAAACATGAGTCATGCTTCACTCTACCAGTCAAACTGTCATCAGATGCCTCCCTGCAGGGTAGCCCTGTTGGAGGGGATGCTGTGCTCAGCCCCAGAGCCGTGTTCCCGGGGAGCATGGACAGGGGTGGGTGTGCTGAGCTGACCTCCTGCTGGGGTGTAACAGAGGGACCTGCCTGCCTTTAGAGCAAGATTAAAAATAAACAGAAAATTGGCCCTGAAGAATGTCTCTTCAGCTCTCAAAATACAAGAGCAATGTCTAGACAAGGAGAACCCATCCTAAATGTGTGTAGCTTCTACCCCAAGAACATCTGGATGGAGCAGAAGAGAGAGTGGTAGGTGTCTGATGGTTAGTTTTAGGAGGTCAGAAGTTTGCCTGCTGTTTTTGCAGCTGTGAATGTTGAGCAGAAAAAGCTTAAATGACATGGATTCCCCACTCTGCGGGCAGGAGGAAGGGTCAGTGTGCCCCATGCATTAATCCCATGTGTTGGGCTCAGCACAGAAGTTGGATGTGGGATGGAAGATGGGGTGGCTCTGGGGGGTGCTGACTGGAAGACTCCCAGACTGGGACACAGATCTGAAAGAGGATCCAGAGAACTGGGTCTTTTTTGAGTCTCAGGTTGGGTCCTGAGACTAAATTGAGGTTCAAGTAAGAAGACAACCAACTCTTCTGTGTGGTGGTGGTGGTGAAGGGTAGGAACTTCACAAAACCACTCTTTTTTTGAGCTACGAATTCAAAGAGGAGACCTGGTCCTATTAATGGAGTCAAGAGTGGGCCCGAAGTTTTTTATGTTAGATCATGCCAGGTAAAGACCTTGCTCCAATCTTGGAAAGCCCAAGTGCAGCTGTAACTTGTGTCCATGGATTCTGAACCCAGCAGAATTCAGAGCGCTTTGATTTCATTGACTGGACTGTCTCCAAGTGTCATCTGTAGTATCTTTGTCCGGACACAGCTATGATGAAATTGTACTCAGCAACACAGTTGTCTGGTCCT